TTCCGTTAAAAGCATTTGCGGAAAATCAAGCCAGTCGAGACGTAGCCAGGTAGTTAACGAGGGTGTTGGCGGGGGGGCAGAAGAATCAATAGGGATAATGAAATGCTGAAATTGGAATAGGACATAGATTCCTTGCCTGCTTTCTTTGTGTGGAAGAGTTAAAGAGGAGTGGAGAGGCACAGAATGATTTAAACCCAGACAGGACTACCATGCTTCCAAGGAATTTGGGGCATGGAAGTGGACTGAACCAAGAAGGGATCATGAGTAAATAAAAGGGAGAAAGTGAATCTCGTCATGATCAGGGTATTTTTCTTTATTTTGTGGTTTGGTTTGAACTGCTGTGTGAATATCTATACCGCCCCTCCCCATTCATCATCTAAGCATTGTTCCCAGAGATTTTCTCTCTGTTTTTAATTTGTTTTCCTTAGTTGCTCTGTAACACCTAGCAATCAAGTCTGCTCTATCAACTATACCTTTTGTTTTGTAATAAAAATCACTTTTTTAAAGTGATGATTGGATTTGCGTGTCCTGGAAGGTAACAGCAGCTCTGTCTGTGCCTGTTTGCAGGCCTCAGACTAGGTCAGCTACCAGAGACTGCAGCTTGTTTTGCTCTTTTCTTTTTTCAAGCTCTTTTGCGGCAAAAGAGCTTGGGGTACCCGTAGGGGAGAAGTCAATTCTCCCCCCACAATTTTTAGGGACAAATCACTTGATGGTGGCAGATAACCCCCTCCCCACCTCCAAAGTCAGTAAATCTGTGATTCGGGGGGAGTTTCTGTAGCCAGTGCTTGTAGTGCAAAGGTATATTTCAAGTCTTTGTGAGCCCCCACTTTCTGCATTTGGAGCCCTGACATGAACTGAACAGCCTCCTGGAGAAAGAGGCCCCTTTATTCCACTAGAGCTATGGGAAGAGCTCTGAACAGGAGTCAGTTCCTGAGCCCTGTCTACATGATGGCTGTCGTTGTTGCTCCCTCCCTCCCTCCCTCCGGGCTACTGAAGGGCTGGATTTCAGGTCCTGCATTGGCCAGCAAAGATGGAGCTCATGAGCCGTCTCGCAGGAAGTCAATCCTACATCCCGTAGGAGAGCCAGAGGACAGATAAGAGGCTGGGCGGTCCAGTGGTTAGAGCATTAGACTGGAATTCTGCAGACCTGGGTTCCTCAGACTCTGTGACCTCCAGGCCTATCCGTACCGTGTGGTCATATCACTGCCTTGCCCAGTGGTGCAGGAGGGCAAAGGACTGTTGTGAGGCAGCAGGCACTGGGGTGAGGGGGCCAGAGAAGTGTCTGATCCAGACCGTAGCAACCACGCTCTGCAACTCACCTCTGCTATCAGAGCCCCTCGCGGGCGCCTCCCATTCCCGCTGCTCTGCCTCTCTCCAAGCGCCGCTGGGAAGGGGCTGAGATCTAGGCACAGCCTCTTTCTCTGAACAATCCCCCAGGCCTGGGAAGCATCCGGCCTGCCTTTCGCCTGCAGCAGAGAAACCGGACACGGGAGTAGGCATGAGGCCAGGTCAGTCCTTCTCTCTTGCCCTGGAAAACCCACCGGGTCGAAGGGTTTGCAGTGCTGCTGCCTGGAGAGCGAGCCAGGAACCGGCCTGGTTGAAGCGAAACAATTTAAAATCCCCACTGTTCCCGGGCAGCCTGAAATCGTGAAATCCCAACCTCCAGGCTGATGCTTCCCGCCTCTCCTGCTGCCCTGTGGGGAGAGGGGCGGCTGGCCTCCCTGGCTCTGGGCTTAGGCAGAGCCTCCGGACAGCTCTCTGGGCTGTGGACCCGGGTGCAGACTGTAGCTACAATAAACACAACCCTGGGCAGGGTCAGGCCAAGCCATCGGCTCCAGCTAACAACTTCCCAGGTGCCATGTATTAGACAGGCCCGGTGTCACTGAGTGTGCGATGGGCTTGCTGGCACGCGCTTGTTCCGAGACAGACCTTGGGTCGTAATAGAGAGGTAGCTGTGTTAGTCTGATCTTGCTTAAACAAAAGGAAAAACTACGCAGCACTTTAAAGACTAACAAGATGGTTTAATAGGTGATGAGCTTTCATGGGCCAGACCCAGTTCCTCAGATTATATTCTGGAAGAGAATTGGCATGACCATATAGACCAAAGGAATACAATAAAAAAGTGAACCCATTATTAAACTGACAAATCAGATTTAGTACAGAAGGTGGGGTGAGCGGGAAGGAAGGAGGGAATAGCTATTCGAGACAGTGAATGGCTAATCAGGGGTGATAAGTGGGAAGCTATCTTTGTAATGCTTAAGGTAATTAGCATCTTTGTTAAGGCCCATTCGTAAAGTGTCAAATTTAAGGATGAAAGAAAGTTCTGAAGTTTCCCTCTGTAATCTGGCGTTAAAGTCTCTTTGAAGTAAGATGCATGTAGTAAGGTCGTTAAGACTATGTCCAGGTAGGCTGAAATGAAAAGCAACTGGTTTTGACTTGTGAAGATGTCTGATGTCTGATTTGTGGGCATTAACTCTTTGGCAAAGTGCCTGAGAAGTCTATTCAATATACAAAGAAGGACACTGTTGGCACATGATGGCATAAATTATATTTCTGGATGAACAGGAATATGTGTTCTTGATCATATAACATGGTTAGATCCTTAAGCATTACAAAGATAGCTTCCCACTTATCACCCCTGATTAGCCATTCATTGACTCAAATAGTTATTCCCTCCCTCCCCGCCCCTCACCCCACCTTCTGTACTAAATCTGATTTGTCAGTTTAATAATGGGTTCACTTTTTTATTGCATTCCTTTGGTATATATGGTCGTGCCAATTCTCTTCCACAATTTGATCTGAGGAAGTGGGTCTGGCCCACGAAAGCTCATCACCTATTAAACCATCTTGTTAGTCTTTAAAGACCTTGGGTTGTGGCCTGCCCGTGGACGTGCCCGGTCTCTGAAGCCCAACCACGTGGCGGTTGCATGGAAACCCTGGACATCCAGTAATAGCCTAGGGCTGTCTTGGGTCTTCCAAATGCCTGCCAAAAAGCCTCTCCTGAGAGCTGGTTTGCTTAGGGACCCTTAGTCTGGCCCAGCAGGACTCGTACTGAAAAAACCTCCCCCCCGTTCACCTCAGAGCCCCACCTGACCACATTCAGGGAGCGACCCCCCACACCACCACCACAGCTGGACCCCTGGGCCTGACGTTCAACCTGTGACCTGCAAGCCCCGGCCTCAGGGCTTCGCTGCGCCCCGCAGGGTGGTGCTGTTACCGGCGGGCCTGTTGGAGCGACGGGGCTTTGCGCCGCTAGCCCTCGGAGGGGCGGCAAACCAGGATCAGCTCAGCGGGCCCCTCACACCGGGCAGGCCAGGGGCCGGGACCAGAGCAGGGCAGCAGGGAAGGGCACAGCTCGTCCTTTCACACTGCAAACCCGATTCCCCTTACCTGGGCCAGGCCAGCCCCAGTGCCCCGGCTCCAGCGTCCTCTGCGCTGCGTCACCTTGCTGGATGCCCACCACAGCGCTTGTGGCCGGGGCGCTGGGCACCGAGATCTCCCTCAGGCACCGCTCCAGGCCTTGCAGAGGGGAGTTCTCAGGGCTCAGTTCTGTTTAGACAAAACACGATCAGCTCAGAGCCTGGGCCACAGTGAGGCTGGTGTGAGTGGTCCCCCATGCCCATCAGGGCTCCATAGCACACTGCCCCCCGCCGTCGCC